CCCAGCTGACACGGGGGACCCAATGGACCTCAGCGCCGCCCAATATAGTTCCTCTCGCCTACCACAGGAAGTCCTGGACTACCGCCGCGCAACAGGCGTGTGCCTTGCCTGTGGTGAGCCGGGACATGTCAAGAGTGCACACCGTTACGACCCGCAAACCAACCCTCACCCTCTGCCTATGCCCCAGCGTACCGCTCAGTCGAGCAACTTCCTAGCCATAGCCGTGACCGTGAAAATTTCACACCGAGTCCCCAAGGCCGTGGAGGTTTTAAAGGCAACAGTTCATCTTCCCGTGGCCGGAGCGGCTACACCACCCAGCCGCGCCCACAAGTCTACCACCCCCAAACGCACTGGATGGCTCCCCAGTACCAGAACCAGTACCAGCTGCGCGCTGCCGGCTATGGGACTGATCAGGTCATTGGCGAGGTTCAGTCTGGCTACACACCCACCGAGTCCGACAGCGCCAGCCAGGCGAGTCACGACCTGAGCCGCATCTCGACCCCGGTCTCGATGCAGTCAAAAGACCAACCCTTGCGCTAAGTCGCTTGCGAGGGTCGAAACTCTATATGAAGGAGAAGATGAGAGGATCCGAGCCTTACTGCTGGACCCAGCACCATTGGTTCTGGGCAGGCAGTCTCTCGAACTTTGCACCACAGACAGTACCAGTAATAAAATTTCCATCCTCGTCCATACATCTCTCTCCTCTCTGCGCACACAGTCTCCAACCTCTACCGTTGAAACAGTCAGCCTCGTCGACACCGGCAGCTCAGCCTATGCCTTCGCAGATGACCAGGGCGTTGCAATCAAGTATGGCGCACAGAAGAAGCGCCTAGCTCAGCCAAAACCGCTCCGCCTTGCGGATGGAGTAGCCTCCAGTTTCGTGACTCACTACTTCGTATCACGGATGACTGTTGGAAGCCACAGCGAGATCGCACTGTTTTACGTCACGACACTCTCCGCCCGGACCCCTATCATCCTGGGTTTACCATGGCTCCAGAAACACAACCCTACCCTGGACTTCGTGAACCTCAAGGTGGCCTTCACATCGGAATACTGCGCGCACCGCTGCATCGACTGGGCCACCCCCTCCGAGAAACGCCTCGCCCCCGTCGGCCAGTCTGCGACTCCGACGGTCAAACATCACCAACCTACAGTTGAAAATGCCGAGGACCACGAGGATATACTCCTCCAAACCGATTTTCTGGAGGATCGGACTACGAAACCTCGTCGTCGAGTCCACTGGGCCGCGAGCACGGAAACTATACCGAACCCAGTGTACGTAAACGTGCTGCCCAAGGCACAGTCAGCTCCGCCGTTTTCATCCCAGCCGACCGAGATGCGTGAAGGACCTATACGACACCCGAACCACCGTTTGATGCCGTTCGCCGGACGGAGCGCACTGAAAACGGCTACCACATCAGCAGGCCCCGAAAACAAAGCAATGGACACATTTCCACCAGCTCGCCCAACCTCACACCCCCTGCCTGCCCGCCTCGTGCACGGCCACCGACTCCCGCCCGCTCACAACAGCCGGCCGAGCCGTGTCAGCCAGCCAGACACGCAGTCAGTAGAGCGCCCCAAGACTGACGACATTCGCTGCGTCCGCGGCTTGAATTTCGCTCAGTTTTGCAAGCAAAAAGGCGTCCAGGTCATGAGGATCCATATGGCCGAGCTGAACAAAATATCTGATCAAGAAGAGAACCGTCAAGCTCTCTCTGAGCTCCCTATAAGGCCAATTGAGCTGCCACAACTCTCCGAAACGGCTTATCGCCGCCTCGTCGAAGGAGACTACACATTGGACGAGGCAAAGAAAGTGATGCCCGAGTACTTTCACGACTTCCTGGAGGAGAACCTGGCCTCTGGCTCTGAACTCCTCCGCCGCAAGATCGTCGACGAGGACGTTCAAAAGTTTCTAGAGAGCAAAGCACCTGTCACCCGAGAAGATGTTCTGAAACAGCTGCCACCTGAGTTCCGCCACCACGTCGAGCACTTCCTGACAAAGAACGCTGAATCACTCCCACCCCATCGACCCTGGGACCATAGAATCGAGATCATGCCCGGCAAGCAAGCCCCGTACTTCAAGAACCGGCCATTTTCGCCAGCCGAGCTCCGCTGCATCAAGAAATGGATTGACGAGATGCTTGACAAGGGCTTTATCCACGAGTCAACCTCCCCAGCCGCTGCACCGCTCCTGCTTGCCGCCAAACCCGGTGGCGGCGTGCGTATTTGCCACGACTACAGAGGCCTCAATGAGGTGACGATCAAGAACAGATACCCATTGCCACTGATCCGCGAGACACTGGATGCACTATGCGGCGCCAAGTTCTACACTAAACTTGACGTTATTGCTGCTTTCAATCGCATCCGCGTAGCCGAAGGCCACGAATGGCTCACGGCGTTCATCACCCGTTTCGGCCTTTTCGAGATGCTTGTCACACCATTCGGCCTCTGTAACGCACCAGCTACGTTCCAGAACTATATCAACCATGTGCTCCATGACGCCCTGGATGTCTACTGCACAGCTTACCTGGACGATGTCCTTGTTTTCTCCAAGACTCGAGCTGAGCACACCCGCCATGTTGATGAAATTATCCGACGCCTAGGCACGGCAGGACTACAGATCGACATCAACAAGTCGGAATTCTAAACGACAAAGACCAAGTACCTTGGCCTAATCATTTCCACTGACGGAATGACGATGGACCCTGATAAAGTTGAAGCGATCCAGATCTGGAAGGACCCGACCTCGGTGAAGGAGCTTCAACAGTTCCTCGGCTTCGCCAATTTTTACCGACGTTTCATTGAGGGATACTCATCAGTAATCGAGCCGATGACTCGCCTCTTGAAGAAAGGCACCGCCTGGACCTGGGGCCTAGACCAAGCAGCAGCGTTTGAGAAACTCAAGACGGCGTTTTCCACAGCACCAGTCCTCGCCTACTATGACTACACCAAGAAGACAGTGGTCGAGACAGACGCCTCAAACTGGGCGTCCGGCGGAGTCCTTTACCAGAAGGATGATGATGGCAAGCTCCGCCCCGTCGCCTTTTTCTCATCCAAACACACAGCCCCGGAGTGCAATTACGAGATCTATGACAAAGAACTCTTGGCTATTGTCAAGGCGCTTGAAGAGTGGCGTCCAGAGCTGCAAGGTACCGAGGAAGCCTTCGAAATTGTCACGGACCACAAGAACCTGCAGACCTTCATGACGACGAAGCAGTTGAACCAGCGGCAAGTCCGTTGGGCCGAGTTTTTGTCTCAGTTCAATTTCGTCATCACCTATCGCCCTGGAGCCAAGGCCACGATTCCTGATGCGCTCAGCAGATTGCCCGGCGTGAAGCCCGCCGGCGCTGACGACGAGCGCTTGAAACACCGCGAGCAAGTGATGCTGCCGCCTGAAAAGGTCGACCCGACCATCCTGGAAGAACTACTGCGTGCATCTCGCCTGGAAGGCGACTTGGAGTTTGTTGCCGCCATGGATCCCGAGCCAGAGCAGAAATCAATTGATGAGTTAATCCGCCAGGGCTACGCCGAAGATTCACTCACGCAACAAATGCTCGCCGCTTTGCGAGAACGAGGCGAGCGAAACAAAGATCGCACTACGCGCCGCTGGCCCAAGGCGATCCGAAAAATTCTCCGTTGCGACAAGTCTGAATGCTCAATCGTGGATGGCTTGATCTATTTCCGAAATCGGCTGTTCGTTCCCGACGCCCCCGAGCTGCGACTTGAAGTGGTACACCGGACTCACAGCAGCGGCCCAGCAGGCCACCCGGGCCGAGTCAAAACCCTAGACTTGCTGAATCGCACCTACTAGTGGCCCGGGATCTCACAATTCACTGCCACGTTCGTGCGCGACTGCGCTCTATGTTTTCGAACGAAAACTCCCCGCTCCGCGCCCCCAGGTTTCCTCAAGCCCCTAGAGCTCCCAGCCCGGCCATGGACGGATATTTCCATAGACCACATGGTCGACTTGCCCGAATGCAAGCGCAACGGCAAGACTTATCGCTACATCTTCGCAGTAGTTGACAGGCTCACGAAAATGCGACACTTGGTCGCAGTCACCTCGCTCGACACAGACGAGCTGGTTGAAGTCTTCTTGCACCATGTCTACCGCTTACATGGCGCTCCAGGGACCATCATTTCTGACCGCGGCCCATCCTTTGTCTCCGACTTCTGGCGCCGGCTCAGCCACCGCCTGAAGGTCGCCCTTCGCCCGAGCTCAGCTTTTCACCCCGAGACAGACGGCCAGACGGAGAGCATCAACACCGCCATGAACAAGTATCTTCGCGGTTACGTCAGCTTCACTCAGGACGACTGGGTGGACTGGCTCCCCCTCGCCGGATTCGCTGCCAACAACCAAGTCAATGAAACTACAGGGGTTTCGCCGTTTTTCGCAAACTATGGATTCAACCCGCGCCTCGGCATCGAACCCCCGGGGCCTGTGCCATCCGCACTCCCAGCCCACGCCAAGAAGGAATTTCTCCGTGCGGACGCCGTTGCCGGACGATTCGAACGCATTCTTACTCAACTCAAAGCTCTGGCCAAGATTTCACAGCAACGGTATGAGGACAATGCCAACAGTAAACGGGACGAGGCTGTAACGTTCAAGGTCAACGACATGGTCATGGTGAGCTTGGAAAACATGAAGACCAATAGACCTAAGAAGAAGTGGGATGACAACTGGGATGGGCCGTTCCCGGTGCTGGCAGTCTATAGGGGCGCCGTTGTCATCGACCTCCCCGATCACATTCGCGTTAATAAGAGCTTTCATACTTCGAAAGTCCGCCTCTGGCAACCCGAACAGATTCCTGGCCAAGCGCGACTTAACGCCGCGGAGCGACGTAATATCGCTGGCCGCATCGCTCATCGAGATGACGACGGCAATATCGAGGAAAGATGGCAGTTCGAGCGTATCCTGGACGTTCACGATGAAGACATTGAGAAGCATGGTCTGACTTACCAGATCAAGTGGAAATACCACGATAAACCAACAAGGGAACCCGAAGAATGCTTGAGAGGCTGCGACCGCGCCCTCCTGCAGTTTCACGAGCTGAACCCCAAGAAGCCCGGGCCCCCGACTTGGGTTGAGAAAACCCCCGCGCCAAAAAGGCCGCGACGGAGGCCACGAAACACATGATATGAGGATTACTTCTTCGGTTTGAGGACAAACCGGCTTGGGAGGGGGAGTACTGTCACGGCACTGGACCGCCGATCCCTAGGTCACGTGGCACATTGCACTTAGCTTCAGGTTCATCCATCCATAGCTTCCTTTCTTGACGAGGAACAACGAAGATTGGGACAATCACAGTAGGGGAACTCCACTAACACTACACAGCCTCAGCCAGCAGATCCCGCTTTAGCTGCTGAAGATAGGACGCTGAACACTTGGAGAACGCAGCCTCCAAGTCGATCTGCTAAACTAAGTCAAGAGGCAACAGGTGGCGTGAGAAAAGGGGAGAGAGTAGAGGGCTTGTACGAGTTGATGGTTGAACGTCAACGAATTGGATGTAGTTAGCGTGCCAAGGCCCTTTAGGCTTCGCGCCTCCGGGCGAAATAAATTCCATCCATCCATCCACATCCAGCATCACCACTGCATGAACCACCACCATTGATGAGCAACATCTTCTGTTGTCTCTGGATCTCCATCAAGGTATGTGAAGGCGGGAGCGGATCAGTGACATACAAATGAAGATTACAGAATAATAATCACATCATCGAATAAGTTTTATTCTGCACCGACCGCCGGCCTACCGCGCCAGATCAAGCCAGACGCCGCCTCTCCATCGCCCTGCGCTGCGTCGCAGGGCACGTCGTGCCCTGCACCACCCTAAAATTGTCCAGCCCCATAGTGACGTCCTCGCCGGCGGTACACACAAACTGGGCGCCGAGCAGCACCTCGCACGCATCGGCGGGCGCCGTGAACTCCATCGTGACCGTCTTCCAGGCGCCGACGCTGCTCGCGTCGTAGCGCGGGCTGAAGCTCCAGAACCAGCCGCCGTTCAAAAAGCCGTTAAGGTAGCAGTTGGGGCGGTACGCCGAGAAGGTGTAGTCGACCGTCAGCGTGTACCTTGCGCCGCGCACCGTCGACAGCTTCTGGACGAGCCCCAGGTGGCCGTAGCTGCCGACGACTGCCTGCACGGCCGAGCCGCTGTCGCCCCTGGGCACAGTGCTGTATGTGGTGCGGACGACGTTCTCGCCCGTCCAGCCCGTGAGGCCGGCGTCGAAGGTCGGGTTGACAAAGAGGGGCGAGCAGGGGTTGCAGGTGTAGGGCTCCGGCTGCGGAGGAGCCTGAGGGGCGGGCGTGTCGACGCGGAGGAACTTGGCGCCCCAGACGTGGGTGCCCTCGCGGGGCGAGTTGCTGACGTTCTTGAGGTAGCAGCGGGGCGCGACGTAGGCGACGTTGACGCAGCCGTCGGCGGCGTCGCAGGCGTCCAGGCAGGCCTCAAAGCTGGCGCTGTCGACGGCGGCCATGTCGCCGCCCGCGTAGTCGTCGCCGCAGCCGATCAGGTAGACGCGCTTGTCCTCGGTGGTGAATTCGCGCGCGTCCCACTGGCTGTTCTCGCACGTCAGCGGGTCCGCGTCCTTGCGGAGAGCCGACCACACGTGGCCGACGGCGCGCGCTGTCGTCAGGATGTTCTTAAGGTAGCAGGTGGGCGCGGCGTAAGCGACGTCGACGCAGCCCGCCGTGATGCCGCACAGGTCGACGCACTCCTTGAACGAGGCCGTGTTCTGGGCCGACATGTCACCGCCGGCGTAGTCGACGCCGCAGGCGATCTCAAAGGCAGCGCCCGACGGGCTGGTGTACGTCTTCTTGTCGCTGAAGTTGTCGACGCACGTCAGGCCGCTCAGGCCGGCCTTGCTCTTGGCCGTCCAGATGCCCGGGTTCGACGACGGCGTCATGTTCTTGTTCTTGAGCCAGCACATGCCCCAGGGGGCAAAGGCCACGTTCACGCAACCCGGGGTCGAGTCGCAGAGCGTGATGCACTCGGCAAAGGTCGCCACGCCCTGGGCGGCCATGTCGCCGCCGGCGTAGTCGACGCCACAGAGGATGTCGAATTGGGCATTCTGCGCCGTGTAGACGCTGCCGTTGCTGGCGTTATTCTCGCAGCTGACTTCACCTGGGGCGGGCGCGGCAGAGACACCGACAGCGAGCAGGGCAGCCGCCGCGGCGCCCCGGCGCAGGTTGATGGTGAGATGCATTGAAAGAGAAACGAGTGACTTGAGCCTTGGGGCCCGAGGAAGGAGAGAGAGGATGGTAACGAGTGAATCCTCAGGAGGGTGAGTGCGGTCGGATTGTCTGGGAAGGAGCAGACCACTTCATTGGGGAGAGCGGCCATATTTAACTGTATTGAGTTTTTGATAAGAGATCTGTTCCTTGACTCCTATTCCATTCAGCTGGGTGAGGTGTCGTCAGTTGGAACTGAAAGCCAGGCGTCTGGGCCCGACACTATTGCTCTCTAGTAGCTTGAGGCGTTGCGGCTGAGCCCAATACTGGGTTCTGGCCTGACGAAATTCAGGCCTGGACCGATTGCGCAGATTGCCCCCGAAATTTTGGCAGCGATTTCTGACCTGTGGCCGTAAAATGGACCACTGTTCTGGAACCGCGAGCGCTCCCGCAAGGTATCCACTTGCTCAAATTCTGGCCAATAGACCTAGACCCTGTGGGTGGTTCGATCTCAGATTGTACAGGAATTCTCATTGTCCGCGAATGTAGGTCTCGAGTCCCACCGGAAACGTATTCGAACCATACTCGAGGCAGCCAAGTGAAATCCGCATCAATGAATGCAAGGATATGGTCCTGGCAAGATAATAGAATAGCAACTCCAGTAGGGCAGGTTACTTACATGTGACACGCCCCATATTATAACCCGCCTTCCTCCACGTAGCGACCCTGAACCTTTTCTCCCGGATGACCCGCTTTGATGGCAAGCAACAAGGCTCAGGTCCCGCTGGCCCGTGGCCTACAACCTCGCCAAGCCCAACCTCCCCTGCCGCATCAAGGGCGAGGTTCAGGACCTGGTTGTGCTCGACGAGATCCCTCCCAAGATCGACGGGGCATCCTACCGCGTCATGACGGACCCGCTCGTACCGCCGCACCCGGGCAACGTGCCCCTTGACGGAGACGGCAACATCTCGGTCTTTCGGTTCGGCAACGGCCGCGTCGACATGAAGATGCGCTGCATCGAAACGAAGCGATACCTGCTCGAGCGCGTCGCCTGCAAGGCGCTGTTTGGCCTGTACCGTAACCCGTTCAGCCACCATACCTGCGTCCGCGCTGCGTGGACTCGACCGCCAACCCCAATGTCGTCTTCTAGGCCGGCCGCTTCCTGACACTAAATTAGGCGGGCTGCCCTACGAGGACGAGCCGTACGCGCTCGACACGCTCGGCTCCAACCCTTTTGGCCAGGTCAAGGCCAAGACTTTCACCGCCCACCCAAAGGTTGGCCCCTTCACCGAAGAGCTCGTCGTCTTCGGCTACGAGGCCACGGTACTCGCGTTCAACGGCATCGTCATATACACCCTCGACAGGGACGCGTCAAGCGTGACGAGCACTGGATAAGCCGCCCTGGGTCGCGCCGATTCACGACTGCGTCATGACGAAAAACTGGCTCGTCCTCGTGCTCTGTGTGGCCCTCAAGGCCAGCGTTGAGCGCATGAAAAATGGCAGCCACCACTGGGCCTGGGACTGCACCAAGCCCTCCGCCTTTGTCGTCATGCCCCGCCGCGCCTCCTTGACGACGCCGCTGCCGCCCGGGCGGAAAGAGGGAGAGTCGCGCGTGTACGAGTGGGACAACTCGATGCTCATCCATACGGGCGCCGCCTGGGAGAGCGACGACGGCGCGACCGTGCACCTCGAGACCTCGCGCGTCATGGACAACCACTTAGGTATCGTTGACGTGCCGGCCGAGTTCCCCCGCATCGACGAGCGCTTCCTGACCAAGAAGCACGATATGATCTTCGCCAACGTCCTCATGCCCTACCATCCCAGGAGGAGCGGCACATCACGCAAAAAAAACAAAAAAAAAAAAAAAGAAAAAAAAAGAAGTTCCCATACACCGCCACTCGACCGGCGGGATGCGCTACTTCCACGCAGCCCCGGGCTCGCTCGTCCAGGAGCTTGCCTTCATTCCGCGCTCCGCCGACGCGCCCGAGGGCGACGGCTGGGTTGTGGCCATAGTGGAGCGCCGGGGCCGAGAAGCGCAACGACCTAGTACTGCTCGACATAAGTGAGTTCAAGGAGCCCGTCGCCGTCGTGCAGCTGGGTGGACCAGGCAAGGCTGGAGGAGCGGCGCTCGCTGGTGAGGGAGACATGCCCGCTAAAGATCAGTGGCTAGTGCGCGCTGGAGCCACCTTAAATGGGAGGAGTTCCGGTGGTTGGTTGAGCTTGAGAATCATAGTACAGTCTTTGTTTCGTAGCCGGGGAGTCGTTGTTGTTAGCGATTATCACGAACTACTGTAATCATATAATGAGACCTGGGATTAGCGTACGGGAGGAGACGAGGGCAACGGAAGCCGATTCTTGACTACTTGCGTAAAGTCTTCAAAACCGGCGCCATTCGAAAGCTCTGAGAAAACCTTATCTAACTACGCCGACTGCACGCCCGCGCACTTTGCTGCGTGGCCGCGGTGGGTGTGGAAAGTAGGGCGATTCGAGGTGCTGCAGACATCCCGAAAAACTCTCACCAGCGCACGGACCAACAGGTCACCTGACTCCCACCAACAGTTGCCCAGGCGACCACGCCCTAGTGCCCCTGAAAAAGGCACAGTCTGCACAACCCTGAGGCGAGAGAGGGAGGAACTTC